AATTAATTGGGACAAAGCCTTGCGTCATTAGCTTCTGCGTGCGGTGTTTTTCCATTTCCCGGATACTATCAATGCCCGGCAGCATACAACAAAGGCCGAAGCAAACTTAAAAATTCACCAGACGCTCTTATCCATTTCTGCTCCTCCTACCGACACTCGTTTAGCATTAGGTTTCTCTACTGAGTTTGTCAACGCGATAAGGCGGATCTTAAACACTCGCGGACTCTGCAATCACAATTGCGCCCACTTATTTTCACATCTCCTTGCAGCTCAACACCGAAGTAAGCTAATGGAGTTAGCAGTTAGTAATACATGCTGTTAGGTGATGGGCAGCAAATTCTGACGCACTTATTAACTTCAATATCAATTATTTCCATATCTCGGCTACGTACATTCTGCAATGCCAGGAAGTACTGCTTTCACTCAGCAGCATATCGTCGACAGACAGGATTCTAGAGTTTTCCGCATGTTTTCAGGTCGACATCGTCTGCGAAGGAAGCCGATGAACCCCTCCTAGCTGGACCCTAATAAGTGGCGAATCGAGGCCATCTGAGGTTATGCAAATATAACAAGTCGTGTTTCAGCGGGCTGCATGGTTTCCGTCACAGACGCTGTTGGCTACTATGTTGGTGGGCGGATTGACGATCCGTTCTGGAAGGAGGACTACAGTAACTCACGGCATTGGGGGCACGTTCTCTGAAGGTTTGCAGTTGGTGTTGAACTAAGGCAGTGTACCAAAAGATGACTACACTCTCGCTAAGACCCACGCCCACCATCACCCTTTGGCATGGATCAGAACGAGAAATGGAAATTGGTAAAGATGTTACTGAGATGGAGTTAACTTGAAGAGAATCGATCTATACAGATAAACTCACTTGACTTCTGCATTTCGGCGGTCGTCTCGTTGACGTATCTTTTGCTCTTGTCGCTAGCCTGAATAAAGAAAGCTATCCAACACTGCCGGGGGGTTCAGACTTAGGTTTGCTGTAAGCTCTGCAAGGCGTCACTCCAAGCCTGAGCAGCAAGAGTCCCACTGCAATTTGTCTCTATTCTCTTCGTCTCATCTTCTTTTTCGTGCCGCTCAGAAAGCCGCGCGACAAGTGCTGACCCTCTTGCCTCCTTTGACGTTTCACCAATCCGGTAATGCTGTCTACAAGGCAGGCAAGCTAAGAACTCATCACTTGTACCCTTTCAACTGCCGGTCAGATCAGCAGATTTGCGTTACCACCCAAACGAGCATGCATAGTCTGCCGTAAAGCTGACGGGTGAAGGACGGAGGCTTCATCAAATCGGGTTTGATGCTGACGAGGGCAATGCGAGCAAGCCGACCCAACGCCGCGGAGAGGCTGATGCTAAGTCTATACCAGTCGGTTACTATTGAATGCGATCTGCTCGTCTGTGAATTCCGGCCCAGAGGGCGCCTCAACGCCATCTCGAAGCCGCCAGTTCCATCGGATTTCGGTGGGCACTTTGACCCTTAATGCTTCAAAGGGTTTAATTCGGATATTTTTCCGATTTTAATTGGGCTCAGTAGCAGAGGATACTAGGATTTGAATGACCAAGTCGGCAGTAAAAAGGTGATTTAGGAGGTGGTAGTGCAATTGTATCATGCTGAGTTGGATAGGCCTGAAGATTCCATTTAATGTCATCTCATCCAGGCCAGACTGAACTGGATTGCAGTTTAGATCTCGTTTCTGAGTCTCAATACAGCCCCAACGGTAGTAGATACGTTACCAACCTAGTACACAGCCATGGGTGTCGATGGGCCATAAGACAGATGTGATATCCAAAGCAAGACACACAAATCACATTTATGGTGAGACTATCGATTCGTCAAACAAATATTTAGCAATGTAATCGAAGACGTAACTAGATTGCGGTCTAGTTAGGATTCGAGATTGTCAGCAATTCTTGAATCAGAACCTAGATCACTAAGATTATTTAAAGGCCTGTTTATAGATATAAAGTAAAGTTGGATTCTGAAGAGTCCATAAGTAATTTAGTGTAATCGAGTGTCAGCTTTGTCTTGTCATCTCATCCACACCCTCAGCGCGATTCTAACCGGGGATGTCCTGATGAGACCTAGGAGACTGCATTCTAGCCTGTACGAGAACTGCTAAACCAGTCATCATCTTGGTGTATCTGCAGTAAAATATAATAATAATAATAATAAT